GCATTTCAAAGAGAGAGCACGAAACAATCTCTCCGAACGCTAATCGACAACAGGTGGCATATAGTTTTTCATCAGCAGTAAATTTAAAAAAAAAAAAAACATTCTGAAAGGGGCTGTTGTAACCTTTAGAAATGATAATGGGGTTGGCAAATATGACAGCATGCTGTGGATACTCTGGATGCAGTTATTTTCCACAGGATTTAAAGGGGTCCTATTATGCTTTTTCACTTTTTCAACTAGGTAGTCTGTAATGTTGCTGTTTGAGCATAAAAAAGTTCTGCAAAGTTACAAAGTTCAAAGGTCCACTTCAAAAGGAGATATTTTATTTAACAGAAATCACTTTTCAAAAACTACAACGAACGACTCGTTTGGACTACAATGCATATTTTCCGGGATTTGTGATGTCACAAATATCGACGAATAGGATGAGACCTGGTTGAGCTGCACTAGAGAAGGCAACGAGAGTTATCACTATGTCGGAGACACGCTAGCTTTCCCAAGGCAAACGAACTTAGAGTGGTTACAATCATCCGGGTTTAAATCACGCTCAAATTGATTTGATATTGACGCAATATTTACACTGAAGCTCGCAGGCGGCTATGGTAAGGGGCGTGACATTTCCCGACAAGGCGCCGAGTGCTGCCAATCACAACACACACTGGCCCAGCTAACCAATCACAGCACATTTCATATTTCAGAAGGCGGGCCTTCATTTGATACAGGAACTATTTGAGCCGTTCATGCCAGACTGGGGAGAGAGGTGTTGTAATAATGTAAAATATGTGAAAAATAATGTGTTTTTCGAACAACCTAGTATGAGAGCCTGTTCTAGTACACCCCCAAAACAAAATCAAGACTTTGTAAAAGAGCATAATAGGACCCCTTTAAGTCTTAAATGTGAAAAATGCTGAGATTTTTTAAGTATGTTATATTGATTCTGATGTGTACTACTTTATTACATTTGGCTATTGCATTTAGAAGATGAAAGGAGCAGGCCATAGCAACTAGAGTTGCAAAATTCCAGGAATGTTCAAGGCTGCAAACCTTCCATGGGAATGGACAGTTTTGCCCCTTTGCAACCCTAATGGCAGCATTAGGCCACAGGCAGCATTAGGCCACAGGCAGTTGTGGCCTAATGGTTAGTGAGTCTGACTTGTAACCCGAAGGTTGCAGGTTCGAGTCTCAGGTCTGTCAGGGATTGTAGGTGGGTGGAGTGAATGACCAGTGCTCTCTCCACCTTCAATACCACGACTGAGGTGAGACCCTTGAGCAAGGCACAGAACCCCCAACTGCTCCCGGGCCTGCTCCGGGTGTGTGTGTGTGTGTGTGTGCGCACTTGGATGGGTTACATGCAGAGCACAAATTCCGAGTATGGGTCACCATACTTGGCCAAACGTCACTTCACACACTTTGTGTACATGTGCAAGAAACGTAACTGTAGGTTTTGCCTAGAGGACCTGTGTACTGTCACTTTAAGAAAAAACTTGAAAATAAGGAAGTCAAAACATCTTTATGAAGGAATTAACTAAAATTCCATTAATCATGACAAATTATGTAAACTGGAAAATGCTGGTACAATATCCTCCTGGGACCAAGAAATGTTATATTCTATTCTATTTTATTTTATTTTATCTATTTATTTATTTGCGAAGTGTTTTTTTTTTTCATGTCGTTACATAGTTTAGAGCATAAGAAAAAAATGGAAAAATAACAGTTTTGAAAAATGATATTTTATTCATATGTTATGCTATGTCCTCTGTACAGGACCCAGGACTCAATTAAAAAAAAAAAAATACAATGACATGAATAGGCAAAAACAATGGATTTTTTTTTTTTTAAATCACCAATAAATTTTTAGGTTTCAGGATTTTTTTTTTTCATACCAAACTTTGTATAAAGATGATCAACTATGTCATGAAAGATTTAACAGAATGATCGGATATACCATTTTGCTTTACGCAATATGTGTGTAAAATGGCCATAAGAGGGTTTTCCCATTATATACAATGTATCTATACACTGAATCTAATTTGCATATCAATGTGTTCTTGGGGCATGTAAAACAATTTTCACTACTGTTCAAATGTTTGGCAGTACTTTTTTAGTGAAAACAATACTTGAATTCCACAAGGATGCATTAAATTGAGACTGGAGTAATGATGCTGAAAATTCAGCTTTACATTTGGAGAAATTAATTACCTTTTAAAATATATCAAAATATAAAACAGCAATTGCCATAACATTTCACAATATTACTGTTTTACTGTAGTTTTTCGTATGAGACTCTTTTACATTTAAATCTTAAATCTTACCACCCCAAAAATAGCATAGTTATTCGTTAAACATAAATGCATTGCATTGTAATGTATTGGGGGAAATCATATTTAAGATGCTTAAGACTGTAGAGAGATTTTATTACATCAATTCTCTCATTTTTGGATGATTTTTCTCTTTAGAATTCATGGGTATTGAAGTTCTTCACCTAAAATTAATCCATTAAATATGATTATTGCAAAATGAAATTACACAGGCTGATGGCATTGTATACAGGTCTGTTTTGAAAGGTTTACATACAACTGCTAAAAACCTCTTAAAAAGAAAGAGATTTTTATTTCAGTATACAATAAATATCCTTGCTAAAGCCACACAAACTTTCACACATTTCATTTTCTATTAAAGAGAAATAAAATAAAAACGTTGGACAATGACTTTATTTTGTGTGTGTGTGTGTGTGTCTGTGCTCGACCGACACATGTTATTTATCATAAATACAGTGCGCAAATGAGAGAATTAACTCTCTCAAGTGTACAGTGAAGCCTTGAAACCACGATTAAAACTAGTAAACTATGAACCGTGTGAAAAATGAAACGAGTCCAGTGTGGAACAAGAACAATCTCAAATGTGCAAACTTTATTATATGTACCTGCTGCTCTTCATCTTGTAGACAGATGTGCATCATGCACATATGCTGTTTGGAACCATAATATACTAAAACAGAAGAGATTTTGATTACTTGCACGTCTTGTCTGTAGCCCTGCAGAGGATCCACACTCCTGAACCCATCTCAGGTCACTTTCTGCTGTGATCGAGCAATAAATCACACACACACTCACTCACAGAAGAGTTATGAATCTTTCTGATCCCTCTCCAACAGGTCAGTTTATAATGAGAAGTTTATGAGTGTACTGGAGAGAGAGAGAGAGACGGAGGGAGCGAGAGGAAGACGGGTGGAAACACAGAGATGTGCTCACGCACGCCTGGCGAGACAACAGGCAAGTTTAGAGCCAAAATGGCTGCATTCATTATTCATAGAGCCTGGAGAACAGGCCTTTGCAATATTTATCTGTGATATTGACTTGACTGTGAGTGACTGCCAGCGTACTCACCCAGTCACACAGTGAGATGAGATCACAACCCCACAGCTGAGACAGCCTGCTTCCCAAGGGCCAGATTCAATTAAAGCAACAAGACACACGCAAACACACATTCATGTGTTTAACAACAAACACACATTTCACACGGGTTTACACACGCACACAAAGGGTTGCAAATCTCACATGAGACGCATGAATGACCACAATACAAGAAAAACATTTCAGACACAAACACTAACACTGCAGACGTGCACGAGAGCGGCACTGAAGATCTGGATGAACCACCAATCAGACACGCGCCTCACCAGTTTTTTTCTTTCATCTATTTCTTAAGATACCGTATACTCAAATGTGCTACTAAACAATCAAACTTCGTGTCAAAGACCAATCCGAAACAGATCCCTCAGTGGCAGTGCCATCAGTTTTTATGAATTTATTGCAATCTTAAAAAGTTTTTGCTATGATTATATACAACCCTCTACATTGCGAGTAAATCACTCGCATATGCGACTAAATCTTACTCTGGGCGACTAAATGATGTCTAATATTAGCCAATGGCTAATAAATTCTCAGATTTTGCCTCTCTCTTCAGAAAAGAGCAGGTGAGGGCATGGAAAACAAAGAGAAGACGAGAGTAAGTGAGAGTTGAGATGCACTTTACTCTGCTGTTTTATGGCTGGGAGCCAGATATCGATGAGCTATGCAACGGCATACTCCTATAAGCCCCTCCAAACACACACGAGCTACCAAAGACTAGTTACGCTTGTCTATATTCTATTAGGAGAATTTAGCAAATTAAATGACAGATTTAAGCATTTGCCTCTCTGATGAAAAGCATATATTTATGAGTGCTCATTGCTGTTTTCAGATGCTTTTGCCCTTCTAAAAAAAAAAACAATAGAAACCATCACAGAAATTCTTATAGTTTACAAACATTACAACAAACATTACAAACCATCAACTTTTAACCATTATACCCATTAAAAATGGTTTCCTTTAGTTTGTTTTGGGACATATTCCATTAGGATAGCAGTTTTATCAAGCCACCAATAAAAGGCAACAAATTACCTGTAGACCCTCGGGGACCATTACAGTTTTCAATAAAACCAATACAATTCCCATTCTAACCATTACATTTTTTTTTTCTTCAGCAGGGTGGGCTTGAACTGGGGCAGTAATATGGTTTTGACAGTGAATAAGCATAGAAGATAATTTATTTTGCTGACTGGTTTCTCAAATTATGAAATTCCCCCGAAGTTGTTTTGAAATGTACTACTTATCCTTAAACTAACTTAATATCAAGCAGCCTACAGTTGAAACACCGTTTGAAAACACTGAGTTTCTCATTTTTTTGGTAAATATTTAATCAAATACACTTAAAAATGATTGTTAAGGCATTCTCCATCACATTTTAAACATCTTAATTCAAACTAGCAAACATGAGAACCTTTTGGGCCTGTTTGTTTGTTTACATTCATTTAAATTTAGTGATGTCAAAAGCAACTGTTTAAACTATATTGTTAACAAACTGTCATTAGAAACATTTAGGTTTGATCGTTGTTTTATCTACAAGATATTCCAGTGTTAGTAGTATATACACACTAAATCAAAACGAGAAGCACATACCTGTTTAATCAAGCCAGTTCCGGGAAATGTGTCGTGTCAAGTGTCGCATTACAACGGCAAAAGTGGGCAAATAAGAAATATAATGATGGATTCTCTTGTTTACTTGACATATCTTCATATTAACATAGCACTAAATTACATTCTGTCGATTAACGAGCATTCGCGGTTAAACGCTATACATTGTGTTTCATTCACCACCAGGGGGCGCTTTTGAGCAGTTATGACTAACGAAGAAGAACGATAAATTACATAAGAGACCCTGGCCTGGACCACAAAACTCCAGTCACGAGGGTCAATTTTTCGAAATTGAGATTTATACATCATCTGAAAGCTGAATAAACAAGTATTCCAGTTGATGTATAATTTGTTAGGATAGGACAATATTTGGCTGAGCTACAACTATTTGAACATCTAGAATCTGAGGGTGCAAAAAAATTAAGTTTTAATATATTAAGAGTAGGAAATTTACAAAATATCTTCATGGAACATGATCTTTACTTAAAGTCCCCATCCATGATTCCACACTCAGTCACAGCATCATCAAACTACACTTTTGTCTCTTTGTTTATTTTGAATACGCGCCCTCTAGTGGCGAAAATTACATATTGTGTCTTTAATATCCTAATGATTTTTGGCATAAAAGAAAAATCGATAAGTTTGACCCATACAATGTATTTTTGGCTATTGCTACAAATATACCTGTGCTACTTATAACCATGGTCATACTTATGATATGGTCCAGGGTCACATATGTGGATATCTGTCCACCCGTGCACACAGAAGGAAAGAGCCAGAAATGTAGATAGTTCAACCATGAAGCCAATATATATATATGAATATATATGATATAATGAAATACAAATGAAGTTCTGCCTTATATGATCAACAAAAGTACTATACAGTATACTTGCTGTGCTGTTTTTTTTTTCATTGAGTTTTGATCAGAAGAAATATGTTATGTTGTGTGTACATTTAACTTTTAATGCTAAGCTAATACCTTTTACTAAACAAATTGAAAATGTTTTCATGAAACCATAACGATTTTGTAGAAATAAGTAGCAATAGGAATATAGTGCATACATAAGTTAATAATATGTAGCCTAGTATATTGTATGGTAAATGCACTCTGTAATATTTTCAACTCGGGGAGAGATCGTAATTTATTAGAGTATGTTATTTCATGTTCTCACTAATGCATTTCTGCAGTTAAGTCTTCTTCAGAGAGTATCAGTGTAAGGATCGGACACCAGTGAGTCCTAATTAAATAGTACAAGGAATAAGAAAGCCCAAATTCTTCTTGATCTACTACAAGTAAAGTTCTGCAGTTAAGTCTTCTTCAGAGAGTATCAGTGTAAGGATCGGCCACCAGTGAGTCCTAATTAAATAGTACAAGGAATAAGAAAGCCCAAATTCTTCTTGATCTACTACAAGTAAAGCCTTTTTTTTTATCTTTCATGCCAGAAGATCCCAAAATATTTTTTATACACTTTTTACAGCTTTGAAAACTAATGTTTATAACCCATGACAAGTTTTTATTTTATTGTAAAGAAAACAGTAAAAAATAAATAAATAAATAAAAAAGACAGACAGACAGGTATGAAGGTAAGAATTGTTTTGGGCTGGTGCAGGGACACTGCAGTCATTGCTTTTGTTCATAACACTGCACAAGATGTGTTAAAGAACAGAGCCTCAGGGCAGTTTAATTATAACTTTACGGCTCCTGGCCCTTCAGTGCTGTAGTCCAGTGTGAGAAGCACCAAGACATGGCAAATATGACAAACCCAGTATTATCAATCTGATAACAATCTACCCAGAGACCAAAACCCACTACCCAATACTCCAGGCTTCACTAATATTCTATTTTCCATTATACCATAAAGATGTTGTTTCTTAAGGGATAGTCACAAAAGTCTTTATTTACTTTTGTGAAACACAGAAGGTGAGGAATATCCTGGCCTCCATTTAAAACAGAGTGTGGACAGGGTTTGTCAGGCACCAAGATGTAAAAGCACCATGAAAGACCTCAAAACTTTTATGAAACATTCTCTAAGATCATGTCATGTTACTTTTGAAAGGAGAGACTCCTAAAAGCCTGAAATAACTCATACATGGTGTAATTTCATTGACATCAGTGCAAACAGCTCTATTCATGTTTCATTCACTTTCACACTTCTGTCCTGTCTAAAGTTCAAAGTAATGCCACTGATCAATATTCTTATCTCTATCCTTCACTTTTACACCTGTCCCCTCTTTTGTCTGTGATCAGTATTCCTTAGGTTCTACTTTTGCCACTGTATCAAATGTCTTTCTATGTTCCTACATGGATTCTATTATGTGGATTAAAGATTTAATCTAAAACATAATCACACCTGAATTTTTTTCGAAACTCTGCTTCATCAAGCTTTAAAACCTTTACGAATCTTTTTTTTTTCACTTAAGTAACCCTGAATGCATGTCAGTTACATAAATGTACAATAGGTATTACAAGTATGCAAATATAATTTAATTCTGTAAATTATGTAAAAGCTGTATCATTAATATAAATAATTAAAATATAATTATAACAATTATAAATGTAATAATACATTTTATATATCTTATAAACACAGTAGAGCTAAATGAAATGTGCTAATTAAATTTATAATAAACAAAATTAAATGCATGCAGTCTACTAAAAGATGCATTTTTTATTTATGGAATATTAACTGCAATAAATACAGTAATATTTGAATGAATAAAAGTGGCCCTTAGATAAAAGGTTTCAATTTTTTGATGCTAAGGACCCCTAAATATGATGATCCCCTTGTGAGGGGATAATAAAAGCAGCTGTATATTTTATGCATTAAAAATCCATTTATAATGTGTGAGGAAAATATGTAATATTATTATTAAGACATCTAAATCAAATAATATTTTCAAAATTAAATATCTGGCTTTTACATTGCCATTTTTAACTAAAACAAATTGTTAAAATATTGGAAAATATGTACTTTTAATTAAGCTGACAATGTATTGTACATTCTTAATTGTTTTTATTTTAAAATACAAAAAATAACTAATTTTGAGAAAAATAAGAAATATAAAATAATAGCAATTAATGTCTTGATTTTAGAAAGCGGAATAAACTAATTAAATTTTGTGAATGTGAAGGTAAACATAATTGCGTTAACCACATTTCAATAATATCTTAAATGCACACATATACCTTTGACACTTAAAACATTTTTTTTTTTGTTAAAAAAATAATAATATAAATCTCTCAAAAGTATTCTTATTCTATTGTAATACAATAAAAATATAAGTCAATATTCGAGATGTAAGATATTTGTTTCTCCGCTTTTGTCAGCCAAATTTGTGCAAACAAGCCATATAGAGCAAATCAAAGGTTATGGTGCTTTGGATTAAACATCACACCTTGAATGGTTAAGATGGCTTTTAACTATTTGTCCAGTGTAGTGGGTACCTTCAGAGGGTTAAAAGACGGAGAAGTCCCAGTGGTTACATTGAGACACAAGAGTTTTAGGACGTGTCTACAGAGATGGATGGAGGTACTGATGGATGAATGAATGGATGGAAATATCCCTTTATTCCAGCGTGACTATGACAAAGTGATGAAGTCCTGACCCTCGAGGAAGCAGTTAACACCCGTGTCTCCAGTCGCCGTGGTGTCACTGCGGGAGTGGGTAGCCATGGCAACGCAGAGGAAACATGCCCTCAGATTCCGCCTCGCATCAGCGGGCACCATTAATTACTGGGCCGGCGAGAGTCGTTACAAATATGTAAATACAGTAACCGTCGCTCTGTGCAGAATATTAATGCGCGCGTAGGAGACGGAGTGAGAGAAAGACACCGAACAGCTCGGGAAAGATGTTGATTTAATGTCCGTCCCCTCAAGAGCCTGTACCTGTGAGTATCTCGTCCTCCTAATAGCTACAGGGGTCCCTTCACCCTCTCTCTCACACACCTGGTCTGATGATCAATATATAATGATTAATAATGGGGGTTGCTTTGACCTGCCTCTAATTCATCTCTGACATACAGTCAGTGTAATGAGAGTCTGGATTTAGCATCCGCCGCGTGTCCGACCAGACGCTCCCCCCTTTCCCCACGGCTACCTTAACCAACTGCCCCACTTTCAGCCGTGTGCGAGGTGTGGAGGTACATGTACACATGGAAACAAAAGAAAGAGAATGACATCACGTGGATACAAACAGAAATAGAAAGAAAAATACAGAGGCAGAGAGACTGACCTAATTTCAAAGTCTGAAGTATTTCCCCTGTTACGCTGCAACACACCAGAAGCACAGTGAATCGGGATGATGTTTCCTGTAGTGATGGCTCCGTCTTTTTTTGTCATCTTTCGAGTACGTTTTAAATTGGTCTAGACAATTTGGACTATATTTTATTTTTAAAACCTATGATTTTTGTCACCAAGGCCACATTTGTTTGATCAAAAATATAGTAATATTGTGAAATATTATTGCAATTTAAATACATTTTTATATATTTTAGAATGTAATGTATTCCTGTGATGTTAAAGGGATAGTTCACCCAAAAATGAAAATTTGATGTTTATCTGCTTGCAGTCTGCAGTCTGCCGTTGCAGCTTCAGTGTCACGTGATCCTTCAGAAATCATTCTAATATGCTGATTTGATGGTCAAGAAACATTTCCACATTTGTGGAAACCACATTATGGCAATGGCAATGGCAATGGCAATTTTATTTATATAGCACTATATACTACAACCAGAGCTGACCAATGTGCTTTACAATAGAATAACTAAAACAGCAATAACACAATGAAAAATAAAAAGCGGTAAAACCAAGAGGAAGGGGAAAAAATACATCATAACATCCAACAAAAACATAGGACAAGGATAAAGAGTGCTTCAGCCAGAATTAAAAGCCTTATCGAACAGATAGGTTTTTAATTTAGACTTAAAAATAGCATAAAAATAATTGAATCAGGATTCTTTGATGAATAGAAAGTTCAAAAGAACAGCATTTGTTTGAAATAAAAAATCCTTTGTAACATTATAAATGTATTTATTGTCATATTTTATAAATTTAATAGTACTCATGTCTTTAAGAAAAAAAAAAACTTACTGACCCCAAACTTTGTAACTGTAGTGTATGTAACATTAAGTACTGCAATTTGTAATCTGAATTAAATATATATATATATATATATATATA